ATTGAGGTGGCTTTATTGCTATGCTGACTTTAGATCTTTGGGGAAAATACCAAGAATTGGGAAAGCTAAGTGATATGATGCTATGGATGGAGGTTTCTTGAATGCCAGAGGATGTGGAAACCTGCATAAAGACATAAATGTTTACGCAGAATGTGAGGCTGTGAGCTTGCTTTCAGATAGATGGGCAGGCTTCCTTGCTTTTCCAAGTTCCTGCATGCAACCTGTGCAGTTCAAGGAATGAACACACCACTGTCATCCTCATAACCCCCAGCCCTGACTCTGGCTATGGGTGAATCTGCTCATTTCGAAGTGCTTTTTTCCTAGAAGTGTAGACCTACCTCTCAACTGCCTCTCAACTGTCATACCTCTCAACTGCCTTCGCCTTGGCTGGCTTGAGCTTTATGTCTTCACTGCCTTCTGACCTGTTCTTCCCACTCTCCCTTGTGCTCACTGTGCTTCTGCCACCTGGCCTCCTCTCCATTCCTTGAACTTGCTGACTGTGTAGCTCCCTGTGCTCTCTCTGTCTGGAACCCCATGCCTCTGGGTACATGTCACATGCTGCCTCCCTATCAGCCTGCAGATTCAGCAAGGAAGCTCCTCCGAGAGCTTCCTCGTATCTCAAATGTCCATTGCTTATAGTGCCCTTCATAGCATGATTCCCATTCTTTATTTATATTTTCATTTGCTTGCTTATTTATTTAATTCTCTCCCAGTAGTCAGTAACCTCCCCAGTACCAAGTACAGAATTTCACACCTAATATTTCCTCATAAGTATACATCAAATAAAGAGCCATAATATTGCTAAAAGAGCTAGATCGGCCCAGATTTATATGTAGCTTAAATAAATAACGAGTGTGATATTTCCATTATTAATCAAAGTACTTTTACATGACAAAAATAAAAGTAATCCTAAAGATTATGCTTAACTGGACTTAGATTATGTGGTAAGAAGACATCCATTTAATGTATTAAATCATTCTGCTGTTAAAAACTTGTTGACAAGTGAAAAATACCCTGTTAAATCAAAGTGACATTGAGACTCATTTTGAGGATCATAATTTTTAAAATTTCTACATAAAGTACTTGGACATACCTATGATTGATATATAATATAGATATAAGTGCTTTAGTACCTACTTGGTTGATGTTTTCTCTTATACTTTAGTAAGCTGTTTTTAAATTTTTATACCTTACCCTTCATTGTGAACATTCACTCTTCAGCTTTTCCTATGCATTTCTTTAATCCTTAATTCATTTTTTTTGGTTGCATCTAGAATTTGATATAGCATTTCTTAAATCTTTATGAATTTATTTACTCCTGTTATATTTTAATCCAGTGATAAAGTAGCAGTTGTATGTGTGTTTTCATGTTAGGAGTTAGAATGCAGTCCACATAGCCATCCCAGGACCGAGCACCTCTACATTCCTCCCTTTTGCCCATGCTTACTGCCACACAACCTGCCAGCTCACCAGTTTGCCAACAGCAACAGTGGAATTGGAATTGCACTGTTATTTCACGCCACAGAAATGATCAAGAAAAACTAAAATCCTGCATGTTTTTCTTTACCTTGGCTCCTTTCTTTCCTTGGGGTATTTAGTGTAGAAAGCAGTCAGGTGATTTTAGTATACAAAGTGGGGAGAAAGGTTTGGGGGAGTCAGGTTTTTTTTTTTTTAATTTTCCCTGTGTTTCTGGGAATTGAACTCAGGACCGTGGACATGCTAGGATGTGTTGATAAATCTTTAAAACATACATACACACACACACACACACACACCCTTATGGTGGCTGGAGGTATAACTCAGTGGTAGAGTACTTGCCTTGCAGGCTCACTGGCCTGGGTTTGATCCCTAGCACCCCCCAAAAAAAATCCCATCCCCCCAAATCTTCCAATCCAATATTTATCATTATCTCTGTCAGAGAAGAGAATGACTTTCAATGAGCTAGTCTCTTCACAATTACTTAATTGAATAAGTGTGAATTTTTTTACCTGCAAGCATGTAATCTTGGAAAAAAACATATACTATATTGGAGAAGAAGACATGAATAGAAATTACAAAGTGGCCCAAAATTCCTTTGAACATTTAATTTAGTTGGTTTGCTGAGACATGAACATTATGAACTATCTCAAAATGCAGAATTTTTTTTTTAAATTGTTTCTTTTCAGTTGTACTTGACAGTAGAATCCATTTTGATAATATACAAGCATGGAATATATCTTATTCTAATTAGGACACCATTCTGTGAGTGTACACGATGGTAGGATTCACTTAGGTGTTTTCATATTTGTACGTAGGAAAATTGTTAGATTTATTTTACTGTCTTTCCTATTCCTATCCTCCTCTCTCCACATTCCATTGTGTATATATACCACATTTTCTTTATCCATTTATCTGTTGAAGGACACCTAGGTTGGCTCCATAGCTTCGCTATTGTGAAAATACAGAATCTTAAAGATGTTTTTTTTTCTTTCTTTTTTGGTACTGGGGATTGAACTCAGGGATACTCAACCACTGAGCCACATCCCCAGCCCTATTTTGTATTTTATTTAGAGATAGGGTCTTACTGAGTAGCTCAGCACCTTGCCATTGCTGAGGCTAACTTTGAGCTCATGACCTTCCTGCCTCCCCAAGCCACTGGGATTATAGGCATGCGCCACCGCGCCCAGCCAAAGATATTATTTTCTATAGAAAACATTGGACTTTATGTATGCATTTGTTTTGAGGTGGGGGAGTGGTTTTGGGAATTGAACCTAAGGGTGCTGTACCACTGAGCCAGACCCCCAGCCCTTTTTATTTTATTTTGAGACATAGTCTCGCTAAGTTGCTGAGGCTGGTCTTGAACTTTCCATCCTGTCTCAGCCTGCTGAGTATTCCTGGTGTATGCCACCACATCCAGCTCTATAGGTATTTTTGAAAGGCATTATCTTGTAATTGTCAGCACGTGGTCTGTATGCACACAGTTATGATCCTTAGTTCAAGGTGAAGGATTTCAAAAAGAGATTCAGTAAGTCTTCTTTTAATCTCTTCCATCTCTCATACCGTAACCCATCCTCCCTCTCTCCCTCTCTCTCTCTCTCTCTCTCTCTCTCACACACACACACACACACACACACACACTTTTACATAAATGGTACAACACATGGCACACACTGTTCTAAACATACTTTTTCCTATATAGGGTTTTCTTGGAGATTGGTATATATCAATATGTGAAGATACTCAAAATTTTTATACCTAAAACTGCACCATAATTTATTTAACTGAACCCCTGTTGATGGATATTGGATGATTTCAGTCTTTTTTAAATTTTTTTTTTTTAGTTGTAAATGGACATGATACTTTTATTTATTTATTATTTTTGGTGCTGAGGATCAAACCCAGTGCCTCACACATGCCAGGCAAGTGCTCTACCACTGAGCCCTAGCCTAGCCTGGTTTCAGTCTTTTGTTCTTCTGAACAGGGCTTCAGGGAAAAAGCTTTGTGTCTTTCATTTTGCCCATGTGTATTTGGTCAGGATAAATGGTTAAAAGGCATGGGCACTTGTCATTTTGATGGCTGATGTCCAGTTGTTCTGTCAAGTTACGCCATTGATATTATTAGCTGCAGGGTAATAAGGGTGCCTTCCCCTCCAGAACCTTACCCATCTGGTGGATGAAAATGTTTTTCAGTGTCTTTTCAGTTGGTGTGCCTGTTGTGACCAATGTTGAACACTGTTTCATATTTTAAAGGCATTGTATTTCTTTTCCTATGAGCATTCTGTTTGATCCTTGGCCTATTTCCATGCCATGTGTTGGTCTGTTTCACACTGATTACAGGAGAGTGTTGCATATTAAGACAGTCCTTGATCTGTGGTAAGATTGGAAATTATCCTTTAATTTTTTTTCTCTCTGTTTTAATATCTACTAGGAATAATGCTCAGTACTCTTCTGTTTTGTAATTATCCTAATTATTTTTCCATATGAACTTGAATTTGAACTTGGGAAGAATTAAAACATCAATGACCATTATCATCATAGTCATTATTTTTAATTTGCCTGATAATGCTTTTACTTTTAAAAAAAATTTATTATTAGATTTTCAGTAGATTTGTTAGCATGTCCTGGACAATAACATATTCTATGAATTACTGGGTTCTGAAATAGATAACACTAGAACTTTATGATCAGTCCTGAACCTTTCTTACTTGATAAAGAATTAGTAACACAGCCACATCAATGTTTATAGCAGATCAATTCACAATAGCTAAACTGTGGAAGCAACCTAGATGCCCTTCAATAAATGAATGGATAAAGAAACTGTGGTATATATACACAATGAAATATTACTCAGCATTAAAAGAGAATGGAATTATGGCATTTGCAGGTAAATGGATGGAGTTGGAGAATATCATGCTAAGCGAAGTAAGCCAATCCCCCAAAACCAAATGCCGAATGTTCTCTCTTATAAGTGGATGCTGATCCATAAAGGGGGTGGGGTGGGGAGGGGGGAGCATGGGAAAAATGGAGGAACTTTGATTGAACAAAGGAGAGGAAAGGTTGGGGAGGGGCATGGGGCAGGAAAAACAGTAGAATGAAATGGACATCATTACCCTAAGTACATGTATGACTGGACATATGGTGTGAGGCTACATCTTGTACAACCAGAGAACTGAAAAGTTGTGCTACAATTGTATACAATGAATCAAAATTCATTCTGCTGCATATATACCTAATTAAAATAAATAAATTAATCTAAAAGAATTAATTGCTAATCTTTACATTTTCCGATCAAAGGACAAAGAGGAAAGAATGGGAAAGGATGCAAAAATTGTTCTCTTCTGGGATAATTCCCTGTGTTTGCTATTCTAATAAGCAACATAAGTTTATATAAAGTTTCCAAAATATCTTGAGTTCTTTACATGTTAGAATTTTCTAATACTGTATATAGTTCAGAGATTTATTTTTGTTAATCAAAAAATATTGGTCACATTTTAGTAAAAATTTCAATTATCTTAATTTCAGGGTGGTTTATGGTGTTTTGGAGGAAATGGACTTCCTTATGCTGAAAGTTTTGGAGAAGTTCCTTCAGCTACAGTGGAAACGTTCTGTTTAGAAGCTATAGTAAAACATTCAGAGGTAACTTGCATTTTCAAAATGTGGTTTACCTTTTATGGTTACATTGAAAAAAATTTGTAGATTAGTTCATAGAAGGAAAATAATCTTCCTTTATTCTAAAAGGTTAAAATTTTTTTCATTTGTTTTATACTTCTTATTTTCCTATTCTAATTTAGAATTAATAACCATAATTTAATACCAGTGCATGAATGTAATTTTTTGCTAGATATTTCTAAAGATTTTTAATTGTGTATAAAGCAAGCAACCCATTGTCTAAATGTGGCATTTGCCTTTGATTATGTTGTCTTCTATTGCCATTCTCTGGTTTTTCACACATATCACCATATAATTTCCATTAGAATATCTGTCAGAGACTTGGAATATGGGGGGGGGGGGAGAAGGAACTCTTAGATGATCATACATGTGAATTATAACTGTAGCACATAGCAATGATTGTTTAAAAGTTTTTAATTTGTTTTAGTTGCAGATGGACACAATACCTTTATTTTATTTATTTATTTTTATGTGGTGCTGAGGATCGAACCCAGTGCCCCACAGGTGCTGACAAGTGTTCCACCACTGAGCCACAACCCCAGCCCATATATCAATGATTTAAAAACCTTTTGGCATTATGGAACCTTTCTGTCATGATCACAGTTTTTGTTATTTTGTTTTCTATTTTGGATAAGGAATATTTTTATGTTCCCAGGCTGGTCTTCAACTTGTAAGCTCAAACAATCCTCCTGCCTCAGCCTCCCAAATAGTGGGGCCTACAGGCATGATTATGGTTAAATTTAATTTAATTTTTAAAGAAGCTTTTTTTTATTATTAGAGCTTTATGGTTATACATAATTGTTGGGTATATGAAATGAGCTGGATGCGGTGGCACATGCTTGTAATCCCAGTGTCTTAGGAGGCTGAGGCAGGAGGATCATGAGTTCAAAGCCAGCCTCAGCAATGGCGAGGTACTAAGCAACTCAGGGAGACTCTGTCTCTAAATAAAATACAAAATGGGGCTGGGGATGTGGCTCAGTGGTCGAGTGCCCCCGAGTTCAATCCCTGATACTGATACCAAAAAAAAAAAAAAAAAAAAAGGAATGCTTCATGAATTTGCATGTCTTTCTTGCTCAGGGGCCATGCTAATCTTCTCTGTATGGTTCCAATTTCAGTGTTTATTTTCCCAAAGTGAGCACTGGTGGTTTAATTTTTAAAAGAATAAAGCAACAAACCTGTAATGTTCTTGTTGACTATAATGATGTGGTCAGGTCTGTTACTTTACCTATATATACACATTTCCTTTGGTTTTCTTTCTCTTTTATCCATTAAAGTTTCAAGTCCCTTTATTTTTACATGACTCCTCCCCCTCCTCTGTTTTGATACTAGACACTGATCCAGGGGTGCTTCACCACTAGGCTAAATTGCCAGTCTTTATTTATTCATTTATTTTATTTTGAGTCAGGATCTTGCTAAGTTGCTGAGGGTCTCTTTTAAGTTGCTGAGGCTGAACTCCAGCTTGTGATCCTTCTACCTCAGCTTCCCAAATTGCTGGGATTATAGGCACATTCCACACGTCAGGCTACTTGATCTTTCTCTGTAAACATGTTTTCAACTCCTGAGTTTTGGGATAGCTCCATTGCTGTGGGCATTTTGGAGAGTAGTGTGTAGGTGTGCACATCTGTATGATTTGTGTTAATCGTATTTGCGAAAGCAAAATCTGTCTGCTTGCACAGAGGACTATTTCCTGTTATCAGGTGGCAGATTTCTCAAGATTAGTGAATCATTTTAAGATAGTTTCAAGCCAGAGCATCAAAATAAATTGAAACAATTTTGTATAATGACATCGTCATAGGGTTACAAACAAGAGCTAAGCATAATAACTGTAAGAATATTAGATTTTTAAAATTTTTTTTAATTTAAAAAAATGAGAATTTTAGATGCCCTGGTGAGATGTGTCTTGTTGGGAGTGTTTCATTGATTTTGAGGTAGTAAGCAGATCAGAAGTTTGAGTAGTCTGCCACTTTGTCCTGGAGTAGGAGCCACCTGGCTCTGTCATTTTGCTGTGTCATCTTGTATAATGAATTGTGCAACATAGAGTAACCTTTCATTAATTTCCTATGCTAGATACCCACACATTGTGATAAAATCGAAGCCAGTGGAGGCTTGCAGCTGCTTCAGAGGCTGTACCAACTTCACAGGGACTGCCCAAAAGTGCAGAGAAATATAATGCGGATCATTGGAAACATGGCTTTGAATGAGCATCTTTTTTCTACTATTGTCCACTCAGGTAATGTCAGTATTATATGCTGAGTATTTTTTTTTTTTTTTTTTTTTGAGAGAGAGAGAGAGAGAGAGAGAGAGAGAGAGAGAGAGAGAATTTTTTTAATATTTATTTTTTAGTTTTCGGCGGATACAACATCTTTGTTTGTATGTGGTGCTGAGGATCGAACCCGGGCCGCACGCATGCCAGGCGAACGCGCTACCGCTTGAGCCACATCCCCAGCCCCTGAGTATTTTTTTGTCCAGTCCTTGGTGCTCCCATTACTTCCTCTTGTGGTACATTACTTTTTCAAGAGACTTTATGAGTCCTTAGAGCATGTTATTTTGGTAAGGACAAGGAATTTCTTGAGATTGCAGATAATCCACATCTAAGGTAATCAATGTACACAGTCACAGGAGAGCAGGTTTGCTATGGTCTCTGTTTAATTGTTTATATAATTTTTAATGTGACTTGGTTAACCAAGAGGAATAATCAAACCAAAAGGAGGTCACTGTAGGGTAGAAAATTAGTGTATTTTCCCCCTGGCAACTAATAACCCATCCACGGGGAGCTAACTTAAGACCAGGAAAATATACTGCTCCTTGTAATTTCTGCCTGAGTCAGCCTTCACCTTGACTAGAAGATGATGATTTTCCAGGTCTAGCTGTCCTCTCTGTGTGCTTTTCAGCATTTGGCATTCTACAGGAGGGAGAGCCCTTCTTTCCCTCTCCTTCCTCCCTCCCTCCCCATCAGTTGGGCACAGGGATTCCTTTTTTTATGTTGGGGTTTGAACCAAGGAATGCTTTACCACTGAGCTCTACCCCAGCATTTTTTTTTTTTTTAATTTTGAACCAGGGTTTTGCTAAATTTCTAAGTCTGGTTTCAGATTTGTAGTCCTTCTCCCTCAGCCTCCCTAGTATTTGGAACGACAGGTGTGCACCACTGCCTCTGGCTATTGTGAGATTTTTTTTTTTTTTTTTGTGGTGCTAAGGATTGAACCAGAGCCTTGTGCATGCGAGGCAAGCACTCTACCAACTAAGCTACATCCCCAGCCCTATTGTGAGATTCTTGACACTGTAATTTACATTCTCTGCTAAAGTATGTTATAGACTTTGTGATAATTGTTATTATTTGTAATAGTTGTCTTAGTTCATTTTCTGCTACTATGATAGAATACCTGAGGCTGGGTAATTTATAAAGAACAGAAATTTATTTCTCACAGTTCTGGAGACTAGAAAGTCGAAGATCAAGGTGCTGGCATTTGGTGTCTGGTGAGGGCCTTCTTGCTGCATCCTTACACAATAGAAGGTGAAAAGGGAAGGCTGCAAGGCAGTCTAACATGGCACAAAGCCCTTTTTTTAAAGGCCTTAATCCCATTTGTGAGTTTATTTGAAGGATGCTTATACCATTTGGCCTAATAATAATAATAATGCTTCTTGGACCCACTCCTGTCTAAAAACCCATGGATGTTCTTAAACATTTTGTATAAGAATATTTATTGGAGTTTTTTGTATGGGTGTGGAAAAACTGAAAATAACCTGAATGTCTGCCACTGGGAACAATGGTTACATAATCAACAGTACTCACACTGAATGCTGCAGTTACAAAGAATAAAGTTTATGTATGTGCAGAGCATGCCAGGACATTGCTGAAGTACCAATACAGCCACAGAACAGGAGGGATAGTATGATTTCATGTAGGTAAAATAATGCATCAAGAGAGAGTGACATTGGTGAATGAGATGGACATCATTACTCCAGGTACATGTCCGATTGCATGAATGGTGTGACCCTACTCTGGGTACAACCAGAGAAGTAAAAAATTGTGCCCCATTTGTGTGTAATGAATCAAAGCATTTCTGCTGTCATGTATAACTGATTAGAACAAATAAATACATTTTTAAAAACTCAAAAAAATTTTAATACATTTTCCAGAATAAAATCATACAATTTTTATATCTTTCATTACAAACAAAGGATGACATTGTATGTGTATAAGTTACAGGCATATGATTGCTTTTTTTGGGGGGGTACTGGGAATTGTACCCAGGGGCATTTAATCACTGAGCCACATTCCCAGACTTTTTTATTTTTTACTTTTGAGACAGGACCTTGCTAAATTGTTGAGGCTGGCTTTGAATTTGCAATTGTCCTGCCTTAGCCTCCCAAGCTTCTGGGATTACAGGCGTGTGCCACTGTGCCTGGCATATGATTGACATTTTTGAAAAGTTTAGAAGGGTGTCCACCAAAGTCTTAACCTTGGTTACTTTGAGGATATAAATGAAATTGGGAAATAATGAGAGTTACTTAATAACTGCATTAAAGCAGGACTTTCATCATTGAATACTCCTTTTAATTCTTTCTTTTTTTTTTTTGAGGGGTGTTGGTGCTGGGGATTGAACCTAGGGCCTTGCATATGCTAGGCAAATACTCTACCACTGAGCCACATCCCCTATTTATTTACTTATTTATTTTTACATTTAATGTATTCAGTGTTATGTAGTTTAAAAACTAAATTTTCAAGAAAAAATTTCTAAGGGGCAGTTGATATTTTATAAGAGTGTCTCTGGCACTGTGACTGAGAAGTGCCATAGAAAAGACATGAGCCATACTTCTTGTGTAATTCTTGTGACTCCATTAAAAATAAAGCCACATTTTATACATTCCAATAATATAATCTTATGTCTCTATACATAGAATTTTAAAACAGATATTCTGTTGTTATCAATTTTTTGGCAGATTTTTGAAGAGGAATTTTCTGACATTATAAATTTGAATACTGTTAAAGACTTATAGGATCTCAAACTCCTTTTGAATTATTAAATGCCATCTTCTCCTCATCCGTCATCACACTAATTCTCAACACTGTTGTCATGGAGAGTGGGAACAGGAAATAGAACAACTGTCAGCTAGTGAGTGGCACTGGCCTGCTCAAAGGCCCAGGATTTCACACACATAAGCTAAAGCCTTCCTCCAGCTCTGTGATGCAAAATAATGTGACTGAGGTTCCACAGCACAGAAGCCAAGAGCAGAGATTTAAGCCCAAGTCTTTTTGATCTCAGGGACCATGTTCTTCTTTACCTTACATGTATAAATAATATATAAATGGGTTTCATTATCAGTACTTAGAAAACTGATGTATTAGAAACATTAAACCTACCTTTTGCACACAGCCTTCTTTTATTCCAGCTCTCTCCTAAGAGGTTACAAATGTTCATGAGTTTGGTACACTGTATCTTTGCAGATCTTCGTATGTTTTTGTGTGTATGTGTGTGTATACATGTACGTGAAGGTTTATTTTTTAATTTTTTGGTGGTGCTGGGGTTGGAACTAAGGTCCTCAGTAATGCTAGGCAGAAAAAAATACTCTATCTCTGAGCTACACTCACAGCCCCTATGGAGTTAAAAATAAAACAAAACCAAAAACTAAATGTAGTCATGGTGTAGAGAATGCTGTCCATGCCTTTTCTGTTTGCCTTTGTGTGTGTGTAGGGGGTGGGGGTACTAGGGTTTCAACCCAAGGGTACTCTGTACTGAATTACATCCCCAGCCGTTTTTATTTTGAGGAAAGGTCTTGCTTAATTTTCCAGGCTAGACTTGAACTTGGGGTCCTCCTGCCTCCATCTCATGAGTTGCTTGGATTACAGACATGTGTCACCATGTCCTGATTCTGTTTTGCCTCCTTTTAAAAAATCAGTTTTTCTTCCAAACTCTAGATTTTACAAGATTTACATAACAAATTCATTGTCTCCTAGTTGTATGAAAACTAGTTCTTATTGTTGCTGATGACAGTGAAATAAGTAATATTTACCAATTGAATTTTAGTAATTCTTACTAAAAGAAAAACACCACAGTATTTTGTCCCCTTTGGTAATCACCATTTGTTGAAATTTTCTACACAGAAAAAATGGCTATTGCATCTCGGGTTCCTTCTTTTAAATCCCTCCAAGGATCTGTGGTTGGGGTTGTCTGTGGACTCAGAGGCTCTTAGGGCAGAATGGAGCTGGAGTGGTTGGGACGGATACCAGGGTGGAGACCTCTCCTTCCAGTCTGAGATGAACTTGCCTCAGTATTTAGGAGGTCTGTTCTTTTTACCAGGCTGGGTTTCCATAATGGCAGAAGCCTTGAAATCTCCCCACATTATGGAATCCTCACATGCTGCCAGAACTCTGGCTAACCTAGACAGAGAAACTGTACAAGAGAGATACCAGGATGGCGTGTACGTGCTCCATCCCCAGTACCGGACGAGGTGAGCAAGCAGAACAGTTGCTTTATCCCCTTTGGTAACATAAAGTCAGAGGGCTTAAATTTTAAATTCTGCATAATTTAGATAAGTTAAATACTTTATAAGTAAGTCAAATACTATAGTTACTAAAGCTGTTTGTTCATAATAACCTCAGAGGAGTTGAAGGTTGTCTAAAAGCACAAAAACTATTAATTTCACAAAGGGCTTACCTTCAGTGAGGTGCTCACCTGTTAGAATGTGTGGCACTTACACTTTGGAATGTCATTTCAAGTCATTTTCATTTAGATCTGAGTTAATAACTGATTTGAATTGGAGAAGTCAGTCTGAATAGGAAGGACATTAGACGTTATTGGAGAATCTGGGTCTGGAATTCCAGGGTCTGGAGAAAGTGTGTGCTAGGTATCAAAACATGCGTGGAAAGAGTAAGTCATAATAAATTTGACTCCTTGTATTCCTTAGGTTATTGCTGGTCACTATTGCCAATTATATCCTTGCTGAGACAATAAGTATAGAAAGGTTTGCAATGAAAAAAGTACATGTCTTGGATTTTCATAGGGTGCTTTGAAAAAAAAACTCAGAAAATAGCTCCAAATTTTTTAATTTAAAAAGTGGATTGCCAGGTTAATTCCAATTTGCAGATAACATGATAATATATTTTGTGTATATGTTATATAATTGTGTATGTACTATAAATATTTTTCAACTAACATACCATCTATAATTTTAATATTTTAATATAGCCAAAGAAAATATCTTTGCTCTCCTTCTGATAACATTTATTTATTTTCCTTTATAAAATTTTGAAATCTCTTTAATGTATACTTTTTAAAAAAATTTTTTTAGTTATAGATGGACACAGTATCTTTATTTTATTTGTTTATTATTATTATTTGTTTTATGTGGTGCCAGGTATCAAACCCAGTGCCTCATGCAAGCTAAGCAAGTGGTCTACCACTGAGCCGCAACCCCAGCTCATGACTTATAAATGTAATTTATTTATTTATTATTATTATTTTTAAAAATGTATATAACATACATTTTTCAATCTTTATTTTATTTTTATGTGGTGCTGAGAATCGAACCCAGTGCCTCATGCATGCTAGGCGAGTGCGCTACCACTTGAGCCACGTCCCCAGCCCCCATAAATATAATTTATAAGTCAGCATGCTCTCTGTGTTTTTGCCAAAACTCCTAGGATTCATTCCTCAGCAACCCTGTACTTATAAAACTTGATATAATGAAATTTTATTTTATGTCATGTGAAGCTGTTGAAGCACCATCCACAGAGAATGCAGTGTCATTTCTTACCATAGCAATAATACATTTATTCTGCTTTTTTTTTTTTCTTTTAACTCTCTCCCCTCTTAGTCAGCCCATTAAAGCTGATGTCCTTTTTATTCATGGCCTTATGGGAGCAGCATTCAAGACCTGGCGCCAGCAGGACAGTGAACGGATTCTGATTGAAAAGACTTTGGAAGATGAAGACAGGTACACCACATGCTGGCCCAAGGTAAAGAAGTCGCAGCTCTGTCCCCACACTAAAGCATGCTCTGTTTCCACATTGGTGTGACTGGTTTCCTTTTCTCTCTCTCTCTCTCTCTGTCTCTCATATGTACACATACACATACATACATAGATGCATACATACATACATATACATATAATATATATATATATATATATATATATATATATATATATATATATATTTTAGTTATAGATGGACACAATACCTTCATTTTTATGTGGTGCTAAGGATTGAACCCAGTGCCTTCCACATGCAAGGTGAGCACTCTACCACTGGCCTACAACTCCAGCCCTCCTTTTCTCTTTTTATTGGGATATTTTTCCCATGCAGATCTTCTTTTCCTTACGGATACCTGTAGACTATTACATTAACAGCTGGACTTGTGACCTAAGTTGGATAATTTCTGTTTAGGATGCAGTCTGAGGCTCTGAAGGAATATTCCATACATAAAATAGAGGCAAGAACAAAATAATTCAATTTCACTGAAGCATAATATGAAAATTAATAAAACCATAATTGTATTTGTAGTAGCCAATTTTTTGATCTTAATAATTATAAAACTAGAAATAGTAAGTATTTTGAGTAGAATAGTAACTCTATTTTGCATTTGTTTGATATTATTCCTTCCAAAGATCCTCAGTTCCACTAGGAATGATCTCCATGTGTGTGTGGGTCATTTCCAGGGCTTTGCTCCACTGCTTCTCACTCACTTTCACAGGACTTAGCAAGTAGAAAGAATGTTTTGCTCTCTCTGGTGACACTGAAGTCTGGAGATGACCATCAATCCAGGATCTCCAGTGACTATCATTAGTATTTTTGAATTCTTAGGTCCAAATGCTTACCGTTGGGCTATACAGTCTTTCTACTAAATCCTTTTGAAAGCCAGTTGGATCTAGACTTCAAAAACAAGCCTAGCTTTTGGCTGTAGCAGATTTAAATTGAGAATAATCTCCAACAGCGCCCTTCATTGGCCTTATACTATAAATATGGATACCATTTTGTGACCAGAGATATAAAAAGATAAAGATAGTCACCTTCAAACTTTATTCAAATGTCATCTTTAATTACTCCATTGTGAGAGTCCTCTAATGATAAATTTCAATTGCTAGGAAGTAACCGAGTTTTGGAAATGCAGGCATTTTCTTATGTACCTTTCTGTTTACTTAGACGTGGTTGGCAAGAGACTGTCCTGCTCTGCGAATTATATCTGTGGAGTATGACACCACCCTTAGTGACTGGAGAGCTGGGTGCCCTGCAGAAAGGTAACTTTGTGGGGGACGTTTAGACTGGAAGGATGGGGAAGGGCTCAGGCTACAAGTGGGTCCTTTGGGATGGGAAGTGATTTTTCTTTTGATGACACAGCAGGGCAGGATTTTTTCTCTTTTTTCTTTCTTTCTTTTTTTTTTTTTGGTGGTGCTGGAGATTAAACCCATATGCTCTGCCACATGCCTAACCAGGATTTTCTTATGAAAACTAACCTTTTTCTTTTCTTTTGGAAGGAATTATCTATAAACAAACAGTGAAGTAGAAGGCTAAGGTGTATTATCAATGTTGGGCTCCTAACCTGGTTCATTTACAATAGTGAAGGACCATGGTGGATTCCATAGCAAAACCTCCATTCCTTTTAGAAGTAAAAGTGATATTCTTTTGCTTTGTGTTCACAATTATACCAGCTAGAGGAAGCACAGAAAAAGATGTGAGCCATTTTGGCTCCTGTGTACCATTTATGCCCCATAGGCCAGTTGAGTTCATAGGAAGGGGCACTAGGTTCCTGGGTTATGGGACATGGATTGTAGCCTGATCCTACCTTTGATATGCTGTGCTTTCTCAGGCAAGTCACTTAGCATGTCTGGGAAGCTTTGTTTACAGATTAAGAGAGTGGTCTAACCAGTGTTATCAAACTGTGCTTTGTGAATGGACCCCATGTAGGTGCCCAAAAAGGGAGGGAGGCAAGTGAGCAGGACCCAGGTTTCCCTCCTGTTTTCCCTTGAGGGGCTCTGGGGGAACCTTTGCTTTGAATAAAGGTGTCTACAGATAAGAAACTATCAGACTGGATAGTTTTGAAATTATCTTTTTGTTTAAACATTACTTATTTTTAATTCTCTGAAACAGTTTCCTAGCATTTCTAAATAATTAAAATGATGAAAACTTAATATTTAAAGGAAAAAAATTGGGGAGTGATACTGGGGATTGAACTCAGAGGTAGTTCTACCACCAAGCTACATCTCCAGTCCTTCTTATTTTTTATTTTGAGATAGGGTCTTGCTAAGTTGCCAAGGCTAGCTTGAACTTGCAGTCCTTCTGCCTCAGCTTCCCCAATCACTGGAATTATAGGCATGAACTACCACGCCTAGCTTGAAAGCTCCAATTTGTGGCATAAATACAAGTGGAATTGAAACTCAGAAAAGAGAGAACCAAATCTCTAGGGACACTTTCATTATTGGGCTATGGAATGGGAAGGGACACATATCCTAAGTGCTGGGGGCAGCCAGGTTTGACCTGGAAAAATTAGATGCTCAAGTGATGTTCACCTAGTGTATGAATGACCTCTCTGGGCTTAAATAATCCTAATTATGCTAATAAGTTTGAAGAAGAAAGTGAGCAATATCAGAAGTGGAGCAGAGAGAGAGGAGGTATTCCTCACTCTTCAGGGCGGTAGCATGTAGCATTCATTCAACAGACAAAAGTTCTCAGCTTAAAAATTAGATAGCAAGATTCAGGGGATAGAGGCCTCCTGTCATGCCTGCTGTTTTCGTTTTGTTCAGAAAGACCATTGCATTCAGAAGCAACGAACTCCTTTCGAAGCTCAGAGCTGCTGGTGTTGGGGATAGGCCAATGATTTGGATTTCACATAGCATGGGAGGTAAGGATGATTTTATCTTCACAGAGTGACCGTTGTGAGGTTGTCACCATTGCAGCTAGCCTAAATTCCTGTATCTCTCTGCTGTACTTACCAGTGGCCCCTTTCTCCCCAGGTTAATGTCCCTTGGCTATGGCTTGGAGTTTTAAAATTAGCACTCTCCTTCCATGCTATTCGTTTTCCCAGAAGGTGGCAACTAGTAACAAAACATACAAGAGGGCATGGGGGTGACTACCTGAAACTTCCATGTCTTGGGAGTAAGTAAACATTACACCCAGGGATGCTGACAAGTTGGGCTTACATAGCTAGCTTTCCTGGCTTCCCAGGGGCTCCCCTTGCTTCTTCCCTGCGCTTCCTCACCATTACGGACTCCATCGTTGCTTTAATGTTCAGAGGTGCCACGGAGGTGTGCTCCTGGCCCCTGTGTCCCTGCAGCTGTGCTTTGGGGCCTAGTGCTGCTTCTCTAGTCACATGTGCACCTCCTCCCACCCACTATCCCCCATCCAGCTCTCAGTTTTCATCATCTGCCTTTCAGAGATGAGCTTTCTGCAACCCCTGACCTGGTTTATCTGATGAAAGGCTCAAAATAGCTGATCCTGAGCTGGGCCTTTTTGCTGAAAGAGAGGTCCAGATAGCCTTTGGTGTCCCTCAGAGACCCACTGCCACCAGCTTTGAGATCCCACAGCGGCTTTTCCCAAGCTTGGTGGGACCATGACTGTGTATTAGTATCTTCCTGGGTGTAGGCTGCCCTAGCAGAAGGGAGGCCAGTTGTGCAGCAGTGGGTGCCCAGCTCAGACAGTGCCTCACCCACCCTCCTGTAGGACAGCCGATCCTGTGATGGAAGGATCTGTCCTGCAAAGTAGGCTCTTACCTATTTGTGGTCTGTACTACAAATTCTAGAGAATCAGGAGTATTAATATTTAAGGAATTTAAGGCCCTGTTTCTTGTACTATAGAAAATTGTTCAAACTTTCTTTTTTAAAAGAATACACCTCTCTTTCTGTATTTGTTTTGCCTCCCCTTCTTCTTCTTTCTTTAAAGAATAACAGGGAAGGAAAATAGCTTACACTTATGTTTTTCTTTCTTCTCTGTGGCCAGGCCTTCTTGTCAAAAAGATGCTGTTGGAAGCCTCTCAGAAGCCAGAGATGAGTCCTGTTATAAGCAATACCAGAGGAATAATTTTTTACAGTGTTCCTCATCATGGATCACATTTGGCTGAATATTCTGTTAATATTCGCTATCTTCTCTTTCCCTCTTTGGAAGTCAAAGAACTCAGCAAGGGTAATGCTTTCTGTTGAGCAGGAACTTGGGATTGTATTAACATGATACAGGAGAAAGGAAAAAAAAAAAAAAACAGTTTCTTCCTTGACTGTATTATCTCATTTTATTGTTTGTATATGTATATATTGTCTTTAGACTGTCGATGGAAAATTTTAGCTTGGACTTGATTTTTTCTTTTACACCTTCTCTTTTTGTTCTTATGCCATTATTTACTCAAATATAGCCAAAAATTTAATATTATTATAAGTACTTAAATTAGAAAAATTATATAATGCTTTGCTTTAAGTATTATTCCAAATTATTAGTAAATTGCTTTTTCCCATGAATTTGGAATATCATCAACTGTTAAAGTATAAATGAACTTTTGGGATTTTTACATATGGATTATAAAGCACTCTATTTGTTTTGATTAATAAGCACTTTTTTTTTTTTTTGTATCAGGGATTGATCTCAGGGGCACTTGGTCACTGAACCACATCCCCAGCCCTATTTTGTATCTTATTTAGAGACAGGGTCTCACTGAGTTGCTTAGAGCCTCACTTTTGCTGATGCTGGCTTTGAACTCGTGATCCTCCTGCCTCAGCCTCCTGAGCTGCTGGGATTACAGGTGTGTGCCACTGTGCCTGGCAATAAGCACTTTCTTTCTGGACATACATACCCAGAAGTGGAATTGCTGGACCATATGGTCATCAGAATTTGGACTCCCTGAATTCTACTTTAATGTGCCAGTTGTCTTTTTGTTCATATTTTATCTTTGGTCTGCTTGATTCATATTGCCCACTACACCTTCTGTTGAAATTTTACTTTTTTTTTTTTTTTTTTCAAACGGAGACATAATATTTGTACATCTTTATGGGGTATGTTGTGGTAATTCAGTACTTGGATATAATTTATAATAATCAAATCAGTGTAATAAGCATTTCCATCTCTTCAAACATCATTTTCATGTGTGGGAAGTTTTATAGTTTTCTAGTCATTTTTAAATGTACCATCTATGGTTTCAATCAAGTTACCCTGCTATGCTATAGGAAAACCAGAACGAATTCCTCCTGGGTTGTGGTGCCTCTTATTGAACTGCTTTCAGCTTCTCACCCCATACCCTGTCTAGTCTCTAGAACTAAGCACTATTCCATTCTGTTCTACAATATTGACTTATTAGTTCCAGAAATGAGTGAGCACATGTGGTTTTTTTTTTGGTGTCAATATAATTATTTCACTTAATATAATGATCTCACTTCTGTTTATGCTGCTGCAAATAACAGGATTCCTTTATGTTTTTTTATGACAAACTGCTATGCTATTTTCCATTCTTCCACTGATGGACCACCAGGTTGATTCTAGGCTTAGCTCTTGTGGATAGTGCTGCAAGTAGACATGAGAGTACAGGTGTCTTTTTTGGTATGAGTTCATCTCCTTTGGATATATACACCTAATACTGGAATTGCTGCACCATGTGATAGTCCTAGTTTTTTGAGGAATCTTTATGCTGTTTTCCATAATGCCTGTGTTAATTTACATTCTTACCAACAGTAAGAGTCTCCTTTTTCTACAGCCTTGTCAACATTTGTTCTTTGTCTTTGGTGATGGCCATTCTGGCTAGAGTGAGGTGCTCTCTCACTATGCTTTCTTTTTTTTTTTTTTGGCGCCGGTGGTGTGTGTATGGGGGTGTTTACCAGGGATTGAATTCAGGGGCACTAGACCACTGGGCCACATCCCCAGCCGAATTTTGTATTTTATTTAGAGACAGGGTCACACTGAGTTGCTTAGTGCCTCGCTTTTGCTGAAGCTAGCTTTGAACTCACAGTCTTCCTGCCTCAGACTCCCAAGTGCTGGGATTTCAGGCTGTGGGCCACTTCTCACAGTACCTTGATCTGTTTCCCTGATGATCATTGAGGTTGAGCATTTTTCATATGGTCTGTTGGCCATTAGTATGTCCTCTTTTGACAAGTGTCTATGTAGGTCTTTTAGCTTATTTTTAAAATGGTTTTGTTTCTTGGTGTTCAGCTTTTAAGTTCCTTACATATTCTGGATATTAATCCTTTGTTGAGTTAATAGTTTTCAAATATTTCCTCCTATTCTGTAGGTTGCCTCTTAAGTCTGTTGATTGTTTCCTTTGCTGAGTTTCTTAGTTTGATATACTCCCATTTGTCTTTTTTTACTTTTGTTGCCTATGCCTTTGGGGTTCTACCTAAAAAATAATTGCCTATGACTTTCTTCACAGAAATTAGAAAGAACAACCCTTAAAGTCATATGGAAGTCTTGAAGGGTTTCCCATTTCTTGTACTCATTTCATAGTTTCAGATTTCACATTTAGGTCTTTGATCCATTTTGAGTTGATTTTTGTGTATGGTGACAGAAAGGGACCTAGTTTCATTCTGTTATGTGAATAGCCAATTTTTCCAGCATCATTTACTGAAGAGATTGTCTTCTCCAGGGTGTGTTTTTGGCAGCATAAGGACATGGATTAATTTCTGGGTTCTTTATTTGGATCCATGCATCTACATGTCTGTCTTTATGCCAGTACCATGCTGTTTTGGTTACTATAATTTTGTGGTATGTTTTTGAAGTTAGGTATTGTGATGTTTCAGCTTCTTTTGTTTTGTTTTAGAATTGCTTTGACTATTTTGGGTCTTTCATGTTTCCATAGGACTCTTAGGATTGTTTTTTCTAATTTTTGTGAAGAAAGTTACTGGTATTTTGATGGTAATTACATTTCATCTGTAGATTGCTTTGTATCATATGGTCATTTTAGTAATATTAGTATTTCCAAAAATGAATGTGGTATATTTTTGATTTTTTGTGTGAGTCCTCTATAATTTTTCAGTGTTTTATAATTTTCATTTTAGAAATCTTTCACTTCTTTGGTTAAATTTATTTCTAAATATTTTATTTTTGTAGCTATTGTGAATGGAATTGCTTTCTTAATTTCTTTTTCAGCAGGTTCATTATTAGTTTATAAAAATGCTGGGGTTTTTTTTTGTGTTGTAGCCTGCAATTTTACTGAATTTATTTATAAGTTTTAACAGCCTTTTGACAGATAATTTCGGTTTTTCTATGTATAAATACATGAAAATTTTTCTTCCTATTTTGGATTCTCTTTATTTCCTATTCTTGTCTAATTGCTCTTGCTAAGACTTCCAGAACTGTTAAATAACCATGGTGAAAGTGGACACCCTTGTTTTGTTCTAGATCTTGGAAGGTATCTTGTCAGTTTTCCCTGTTTAGAATGACATTGACTGTAGATTTTTCATATATAGCCTTTAGTATTTTGAGGTATGTTCCTTCTATACTTAATTTTTTGTGAGTTTTTATCATGAAGGGATGTTGAATCTTATGTTTTTTTAGTATCTATGAAATATCGTGTGATTTTTGTCCCTTGATCGGTTGATGCATTATATTTATTGATTTTCATATGTGGAAACATCCGTGAATTACTGGGATGAACCCCACTTGATCAGGGTATATGATCTTTTTTGTTGTTCTTTCAAATTTGGTTTGCTGGTATTTTATTGAGAATTTTTACATCTATGTTCATCAAGGACATGGGTTCATAGTTTTCTTTTTTTGTTGTTATTGTTTTATCCATTATGGTTTCAATCTGAAATGTCCTTCAAAAGCTTATGTGTTAAAGGTTGATCCCCACTGCAACGGTATTCACAGGTAGGGCCGTTGGGAGGTGATTGGATCATGAGAGTTTTAACTCATCAGTAGACTGATCTATTGATGGACTGGGAGGTGATGGAAACTTAGGAGGTGGGGCCTAGTTGGAGGAAGCAGGTCATTGCTAATGTGCCTTGAAGACTATATCTTGTCCCCAGGCTTCCCTCACACCCCTTTGTTTCTCAACCATGAAGGTAAGCAACTATGCTCTACCACATGCTCTCACCATCATGTCCTGCATCACCACATGCCCAGAAACAACAAAGCCGTGAGCCAAAATATATCTTTCTTTCTCTAAATTGATATCCTTAGGTGTTTTGTCACAGTGATGGAAAGCTGACAGTTATCTTGTCTGGGTAATGCTAACTTCATATAAAGAGTTTGGTAGAGTGCCTTCCATTTCAGTTTTTTGAAATAGTTTAAGAACTGAAATTTGTTTTTCTTTAAATATTTTGTAGAATTCAGCAGTAAAGTCATCAGGCTGTGGACTCTTTTTAGATGAGAAATTTTAAATTACTGCTTCAATCTCATTACTCATTTTCAGTTGGTTTGGCTCTTCTATTTCTTTTTGATTCAGTTTTGGTAGGTTGTATGTGTTTATGAATGTATCCATTTCTTTTAAGTTTTCTAAATTTTTAGCATATAATTATTCATAGTAGTTTATTATGATCCTTTATATTTTTGTGGTATCATTTGCAATGCATCTTTTTTTAATCTCTGATTTTATTTGGGTCATCTCTCATTCTTTCTTGATTAGCCTAGCTAAAGTAAAAAACAATCATTTTTTGGGTTTTTTTTAGTTTTGATTTTATTTATGCTCTGATATTTGTTATTTCTTTCATTAATATAGGATTTAATTTGTTCTTGCTTTTCTAAGTCCTTGGGATGCATTATTAGGTTGAGATCTAATTTTTAACAATGGATGCATATTAACTGTTATAAACTTCCCTCTCAGTACTGCTGTTTTTGCTGTATCCCATAGATTTTGATGTGTTGCTATTTTCTCTCCCCATAGATCTAATAATATTTGCTTTATATATTTGGTGGTCCATGTTGGGTTCTTATATATTTATAATTGTTACATCTTCTTGCTGAACCGATCCTTTTTCAATATGTAACTTTGTCTCTTTATAAAGTCTGCTTTGTCTGAGTATAGCTATTCCAGCTTTTTTTAGTTTCCATTTGCATAATACATCTTAAACACTTTACTTTTAGTCTGCATGAAGTAAGTATTTTGTAGGCAGCATATAGTTGCATCATTTAAAAAAATTTTTATTATTCAGTATCTTTTCATTGGTGAATTTAATTCATTTATATTCAATGTTATTATTGATAGGTACAAACTTCCTCCTGCCATTGTGGTAACTGTATTGTTTCTTTTGTATACATTTTTTCTTTCTTACCATGCTTATTTATTTTTGTGATTTGGTAGCTTTATTTCATGCAAAGGTTTGAATTTATTCTCTTTTTCTTTTATATCTTTGTTCTTCTAGTAAGTTCTGTATATTCTTTTGTCTTCATTGCTGGTGGTTATGGGATTCCCTTAAGTTATTTCTTATAGAGCTGGTCTAGAGGTGATAAATTCTCTGTTTCTGCTTACTTGGAAAACACTTCATTTTTACTTCATTTTTGAAGCATGATTTTTGCTGGGTGAAGTATTCTTGATTGGCAGGTTTTTTTAATTTTAGTATTTTGAATATCATCCTATTCTCTCGCTGCCTTAAGGTTTCTGCTGAGAAATCTGTAAATCTAATGAGTATTCTCTTAAATGTGATTTGACATTGTTCTATTGTTTTGGGGATTCTTGTCTTGTATTTTTGACATTTTAACTATAATATGCCTTGGTGAAGATCTATTTTATATGCATCTAGGAGGGGTCCTTTGAGCTTCTAGTATCTGGATGTTGATATCTCTTTGAAGATTTGGAAAGTTTTGGGCCATTTCATGACATGGATTTTCAATGCCTTTCCTTTTTCCTTTAACTTCTGGATTTCTCATAATGCAAATGTTTGTTCACTTAATAATGTCCCATAATTCTTTTAGGTCTTCTGCATTGTTCTTTTTCTTCCTTCCTTTCCTTTCCTTTTGTCTGACTGGGTTAATCCAAAAGATCAGGCCCCAGGAGCAATTATGATTGGGTGCTGAGGTTTGTAGCACTATTAGCTGCTTTTATGGAGCTGTGAACCCAGATGATATTTTCTCCAGGTCTGAGGGAACAAGCACAAGTGTAACCAGGGCTTTTGGCACTAGCAACTATGGTCCTATGTCTGTGGTTTGTGGAGGAGACCTTTCCTAAGTCACCCAGGGCATGTGTATGTAACATTTGGGCTCATGGTGCTATAATCCACATTCTTTAAGTTGGACATGGAGGAGATCTTTGCTAGGTCCTGTGAGCTAAGCACAAGTGGTGCTAGGGCTATGGCTTTGGAATCTGTGGTCCTAGAATGACATGGATAGGAATGTCTCTAGATCAGGCAGGGCAAACTCTGGTGGGAATGAGGCTTGTAGCATTAGCCACAGTCCTAGAACTGCAGAATATGAAAAAGACTTTCCCCCTGTTCCCCAGAGATAAACCTGGGTGATGCCAGTGCTTTTTCGCACCAGTGATCACATTTCCACAAGCATCAGCTAGGAAGACCTTCCTTAGTTATTGCTGGGTCAGTGTAAGTGATGCTGGGGATTGAAGATGCTGGTAGTGTGTTACTGGAGTTGTGGGATGCAGTTTTGTGGAGCCTGTTCTCTGGAAGCTGGGACTTTGTACCAGCAGCTGCAGCATCAAAGCTTTGGGCTGGGGAAGAGATCTTCTGTAGTTTCTGTAAGGAAAGTGTGGATGGGACTTGGGCTTGTAGCTATGAGATGCTGGATCTGATGCTACAAGACACTGAGGGGACTGTTTTCTGCCTAGTAAAGCATGCACTGGCCCACGCTTTGCCCCTAAGGCAAGATGGCATCTAGTTGAAGCTATAGTAGTAGCTTGGGTTCATGGGTTGGGGAAGCCCAAAGTGGGTTCCTTCATTGGAGCAGAACAATTACTCATGGACCAGCTTTAATTTCAGGACTGTAGAATTCTGCACTTAGGAGTGCTGGAGGCTGGGGTGGTGGCTCAGTGATAGAGTGCTAGCTAACCTAGTGGGGCACTGGGTTCAATTCTCAGCACCACATATTAATTAATTAATTAAAGGTCCAACAACATCTTAAAAAAGATTAAATGCAAAAAGAACAATTTTGGGCTGAGGATATAGCTCAGTTGGTAGAGTGCTTGCCTCGCATGCATAAGGCCTTGGGTTGAAGGACGGCCCTGGGTTGAAGGACTGCTGGACTTTCCCACTTACCTTTCCCTGCTGTGTGGGGATATCCCCGCTTCAGGGAGGTAGAATTTGCAATTTCCTTTGTTGTTGTCTTCAGGTTGGCTTTTTTATTCCTGCTGTTTGGGGATCCTGATGCTTCTTTGCTGATTTTTTCTTTCCCTTGATCCTTTGTTGATGCTTCTCTGTGCCAGAGTCACACACAGGACATTACTTTTTTTTTTTTTTTTTTAATTTTTTAGTTGTAGATGGACACAATACCTTTATTTTGTTTATTCATTTATTTTTTTATGTGGTGCTGATGATCGAACCCAGTGCCTCACAGTGCAAGCACTCTATCACTGAGCCACAACCCCAGACCCTAAAATTTTACTTTTTTGAAGTCAAACTTTTAAAAGAACAAGTTTGTTCTTGTTCTCCAGTTCTTTATTTGTATTATCCTCTTGCTTTGTGATTCCATTATTTCTTTTTAATATATTTTTTTAGTTGTAGATGGACACAATATCTTTATTTTTTATATATTTTTTTAGTTGTAGTTGGATACAGTACCTTTATTTATTTGTTTTTATGTGGTTCTGAAGATCGAACCCAGCGCCTCACATGTGCTAGGCGAGCGCTCTACCACTGAGCCACAACCCCAGCCCACATCTTTATTTTTATTTATTTTTACATGGTGCTGAGGATCGAACCCAAGGCCTCACACATACGAGGAAGCACTCGACCACTGAGCTATAATCCCAGCCCTGGTTTCATTATTTTTAGAGTGTTCTTCAACATTCTTGTTTTCCATTTGACTCCGTTTTGGTTTTTTTTCCTGTGGTTAGCTTTCCTGTCTGCTTATCTTTTCTGTGTCTTTGAGGTTGTAAGCTTCTAATATCTGGTACTTCTTAGCTGCCCTCTCATGTTTGAGGACAAGGGGCTGAGATAGGCTAAATCAGGCAGGCTTTGTTGCTGGGGGGCTGTGTATTAGTGGGGTGGGGTGCCAGCCATCACCCTGGGGGCCCTGGACTGTGCCATGCACCAAACTGCTCTAGCTACTGCTTCCTGTCAGCCAGTAATATGTTGAATCTTCCTTTGATGGTTGTCCTCTCTGTTCTTAGGGGGCTTCAGCCTTTGAATTTTACTGGCTTCTTTCCAGGAGAAAAAATAAACGTGTGTAGGATCAGAATCCTGACACCCTGTCTGAATTAGAAAGATTATTGTATTCTGAATTGGGTGAACAGAACTTGTCACAATCTTGTTTTTTATAATTCTACAGATTCTCCTGCACTTAAAACACTACAGGATGACTTTCTGGAGTTTGCTAAAGACAAAAGCTTCCAGGTGCTAAGTTTTGTAGAAACACAACCAACCTATATTGGTAGCATGATTAAACTCCATGTGGTACCCGTGGAATCAGCAGGTATTCATTTACTCTTTTTGAAACTTTCTATTAGATGCCTTGGTGGTGGTGCCAGCATTTCATTGAAAATATCATTTTTGACATCTATATTCTCAGTTTTAGGAGATGGATTTATAAAGATCTAGAATCTAATTCTAGTGTTCTTTTTAGCCATCGATTAAAATTTCTTTGCAAACATATAGCTTTAACATTCCCACCCCCCACCTTTATTTAACTGATGAGTTGACAAAGGATAATTGTCTAACTCTAAATTAGGCATCGACAGAATTGTATGGCATTAAGATATAAGAATACCAGGGGCTGGGGTTGTGGCTCAGTGGCAGAGTGCTTGCCTCGCACATAAGAGGCACGGGGTTCGATCCTCAGCACCACATAAAAATAAGTAAATATAAATAAAGGTATTTTGTCCATCTACAACTAAAAATATATATATATATAAAATAATGATACCAGGGTTTTCCATCAGCTAGATTAAAAGGGGGTATTTATTCAACCGATGGATAGCTGATTGTAGAAACCTTAAAAATATATATAGGGTTGACAGAGTGAAAGCTTTAGTATGTGGGGAATATTCATGATCCTAGCGGGGAGGGAAATGCCTAATACCTGCTACTATTGTGTTTTATGATGTCTTATTGGGTCCTAGAGGGTAGAGCTCAGATCTTACCCATTACTCTGCATCATAGATCCTCCATTTGTCTCACTCCCTGAATGCTGTCCCCCCTCTGGGGCCACTTCCTAGGCTTGCTTGTCAACTTGGAACCTATCTTGATCACTTCTGAGGGTGGGCAGTACTCAGCCATGTCATGAGCACTTTGTGGCTAGGGACAGGGTGCACCTGGTGTGCTTGCCAGATGATTTCTCAGTGTATATAATGAGTTCTATCTTTACCTCGTTATATACTAAGTAAAACGAAAAATATTTAATACTTTATAGCAATACTTTTTTATGTCAAAATAATATGCCACAGGATGAGATGTTACTCTTTAGTTATTTAAAGAGGTCAAAGACTACCAGATGTCTAAAAAAAGAACTTTGGAAGTTGAAAGCAAAAGCAAAGCTACCACAGACCAGCTGCTTTTGGTGTCAAGCTGTGTCACACTTCTGCTGCCCCCTTTTGCCATATCACCAGGCTTGTTCTCCCTCCTGCCACTTGCATTTCTCCCCTCAGTGGCTGCACTGGTGTCTCACATTACTTCCATCCAGGTGGACATTGTCAGACTGAAATATCAGAAGCTTTTCCAGGTCTCTCATAGTCAAGCCTAAACTACCCTACTCATGGAGTGATCACAGGGATAGAGTGGGTCCTGTGCAAGATAGGCATTCTTTTCCCAAGGACAAAGGAGCTCATTGTGGGGGTTGTGTCAATATGTGTTATTATTTAATAATAACCTGTAGGTGTAGGAAGGTTTGCATCATGCTGGTACTTGGGCTCTCCTGGCTGTTAAATTAGGAAGAAGGCCAGCACACATGTGAAGACTCCATGGAAACCATTAAATTAGAAGATCTATTCTCAAATGTGATGAGTCAAGGTGGTTTAGTTGCTTTCAGACTCCAAGCTCCTTTATATATTGGGCCCTTAATCACAACCAAACCATTGACCTCTTTCCGATTTGATAAGGGGGAAGCTTTTGTTTATTGACATTTTGTTTTCTTCAGATTTAGGCATTGGAGAGCTAATTCCTGTGGATGTTAACCATTTGAACATTTGTAAGCCAAAGAAAAAGGAAGCCTTTTTGTACCAACGCACTTTGCAGTTCATCCGCGAAACTTTAGCCAAAGACCTTGAAAAGTAACAACTGTCGTGCTCTATTTTTTTTTTGTGAACACAGTTCAAGAAAGCTGCTGTTCTTTTTAAGCAATCATGCAGACATTGTCATGATGGCACCAGCATGGTCTGGAGTGTGGTGCAGACATCAGAATGCAGCTGTCCACTCAAGCACTGGAAGACTCTACACAGAAGTAGCACTCACAGGAGCAGCAGCAAGGTTGGGATCCTCTGACTTAAAGCCCTCTTGTGCCACTTTGTGGGTCACAGTGCTGGGCCTAGTGACTGGGAGTAACACTGCTGTGGCTGGAGAGGGCTGTTTCATCTGTGACTGTCCTGGCTCACCTAGGAGCCCTGGCAGGTTCTGAAGGAAGATCTGTGGATAGCTCAGCTTACCATACAAATGCTATGAGGGGAGTACCTAAAGTGGAGAGAAGAATGAAGTAGAACATGACGCTTTGTTCTGGATATCTGTGCTATAAATTTTTTAAAATGTCAGTTTTGGAAACTTTTAGTTTTTAACTTCCAGTTCAATCTTGTCTAACATCATGGTGTTAACTTCACTAGGCCTCTTATCAGTTCCTTGTTTCCATTTTCATATTGCTGAGAAAAAGCCCTTTATAATAAAAACTCTAGCTCATAGTAATTCTTCCCAGGCTGTAGCAACCTATGCTTGTAATGTGTCCCAGGTAAGGATAAAGGGGCTAATCCATTACTGATCACAGATAAACTATTCTAAGCCATTATATAAATAGCTCACGGTGTCAAGATTCTCAGATGCTCTTTGGCTAAATAAAGTATACCTTTCATGTTCACTCAGAAGTAGTATTAATTGACCTTCAGCCTGTGACAAAGAGGAAGTCATGTTGATGGACTTTTTTTTTCCTTTTGAATGACAGCATTAAGAAAAAAATAACTTTTTGAGCTGGACACGGTGGTGTACGCCTGTAATCCCAGCAGCTTGGGAGGCTGAGACAGAAGGATCACACGTTCAAAGCCAGCCTCAGAAAAAGGAAAGCACTAAAAAACTCAGTGAGACCTTCTCTAAATAAAATACAAAATAGGACTGGGGATGTGGCTCAATGGTTGAGTGCCCCTGAGTTCAATCCATGGAACAGCTCCCCCACCCCCACCCAAAATTAGCCTTTTGAAACGTACAGTTCTTTGGTTGTTAGTATATTCTGAGTTGTACAGCCAACTTTCTTAATTTCAGAACATTTCTGCATCCTAAAAAGAATCCCTGTCATCAGCCGTCATTTCCCACCACTTGTCCCAGTCCCTGGTAAATATTAATGTACATTCTATCTCTGTGGATTTGCCTATTCTGGACATTTCATATAAACAAAATCATATATGTGTCTCCCTTGTTACTCTTAGCATAGTGTTTTCAAGGTTTATATGTGATATAGCATTTATCAGTATTCTTTTTTTTTTTGAGCAAATATCTATATGATATGCCACATTTGTCCTTTTATTAGTTGATAGATGTCTAGGTTCTGTCCATTTTTTTCTTTTTTTTGGCTATTTTAAATAATACTGCTGTGATCATTTTTGTACAAAGTTTTTGTGTGGATGTTTTTACTCTCTGTGTAGTAGGAATGGAATTGCTGGTCAAAACGGTAAGTCTGTGCTGAAGATTGCAAAGATGATGGACTTGTGTAGAGTGGGATCATCAAAGCTGAAAATGGAGCCCAGCATCTGAGGTAAGCTGGGGTCAGCCCTAAGCCCTGTCAACATCTGATTGTTTAATTACGCAACAATACAATGAATGACTTATCCACTTGTCTTAGTATATAGTGAAAACAACTGTAGCTAGCAAAAGTAATGTGCCAAGTAATGGAATGGTATGGGGAAAGGTGTGTTTGGCACACTGTGTTGTTCTGTCTTCCGTGGATCATGGTAGACAAAATGTAATAGAAATAACTGTTCATTAACTTAAAGACATGGAATGAAATCCCTTTCCTTAAAAATCTTAATATAACTGTTTTAGCTATGCTTTAAAAATAAGATCTGGCAGAGATGTCCAGTGTATTACTAGGCATTTTTTATTCTGCTTATAAAAATGGAGAGACCACCTTCTACTTCTCGGGCCAGTAGGGTATGGATGGATGTTATCATACCCAGCCAAAGTGAAAAGAAAAAAAAAAAAAAATGATACAGCACTTAACCCACATAACACAGCAAAACAAAACAAGTGTATAATCATGAGTGAAAATTTGATTCTAAAAGGAAACAGGGTTACAAAACAAACTGAAAATGAAAGCACAATTAAAGAATTAATTAAAGCTCATTAAATAATAATGATGGGGAAGATGGCAGACTAAAGCAAGGGTGCAGGCTTAAATGTAGGAAGAAGGCTTCTCAGTGAGGTGGGTAACTGAAGGATCTCACTGAAAATTAATATTGAACTACACACAAAAAATTTAAGTGTTGCAAAATCAGAAAGGCTAATATAACAAACAGAAAAGCATGAGTGGCAGCACAGTGAACACAGCAACCATGTGGCTGCTGGATAAAGGAAAAAAGGAAGCAGCAGGAGTGGTGGTGCATGCCTGTAATCCTAGCAGCTCAGGAGGCTGAGGAAGGAGGATTGCAAGTTCAAAGCCAGCCTTAGCAACTTAGCAAGGCCCTGAGCAACTTAGAGAGACCCCATTTCAAAATAAAAAATAAAAAGGGTTGGGATATGGCTCAGTGGTTAAGTGCTACTGGGTTCAATCCCTGGTGCCAAAACAAAACAAAACAAAAAAACAAAACACACACACACACACACACACACAAAAACGGGGGTAGCCTGTGGATTAGAGAGGAAGGCTAAATTTGATAGACACAGAGTCAGTGTTGGTGAATGCAAACTATTTCATGAAACTATTTCTCAAATTATTTACTGAAATTAAAAGGGAAGGAACACTTCCAAATACATTCTATGAAGCTGGTATAACCCTGATTCCCAAACCAAAGACACATTTAGGAAAGAAAACGACAGACTAATATCTCTGATAAAAATAGATGCAAAAATCCTCAATAAGATACTAACAAATCACATTCAAAAACATGTTAAGAGAATACACTATAACCATGTGGGCTTTATCCCAGGAATGCAAGGTTGTTGGTTCAAAATATGTAAATCAATAAATGTTACTCACCACTTAAATAGAATCAAGAACAAGAAACATGATCATAGACACAAAGAAAAGGTCTTTGATAAAATACAGCAACCATTCATGTTAAAAACACAGAAACTAGGGATAACAGGATCTTACCTCAACATTATAAAGGCCGTATATGACAAACCCAAAGCAAATATCATACTGAATGGAGAAAAACAGAATTTTCTCTAAAATCAGGAACCAGACAAGGATGTCTGGTGTTACCACTTCTATTCAATATTGTCCTTGAAACTCTAGCCAGGATAATTAGGGAAGAGAAGGAAATTAAAGAAATACAGATAGGAAAAGAAGTCAAACTATCTGATTCCCAGTGACATAATCCTATATCTAGAAGACCCCCCCAAATTGAACCAGTGAATTCCTAGAACTGATAAATGAATTTAGCAAAGTAGCAGGATAAAAGACTGATATTCCTAAATCAATAGCTTTTCTATACTCTAATAGCAATTCAGTTCAGAAAGAAATCAGGAAAACCATCCCCTTCACAACATCCTCAAAACCAAAACAAAATTTTAAAAAACCTGAGAATCTAACCAAGGAAATAAAAGATCTCTATAATGGAAACTATAGAACATGGAAGAAAGAAATTGAAGAGGACCTCAGAAGATGGAAAGCCCTCCCATGTTCTTGTACAGGCAGAATTAATATTGACAGAATGACCATACTGTCAAAATCAATATACAATGCAATTCCCATCAAAATACCAAAGACATTCTTCACCGAACAAGAAAAAGCAATCTTTAAATTCATTTGGAAAAATCAGAGACCCAGAATAGCCAAAGCAATTCTGAACTAGAAAAGTTGTGCAGGAGTCCTCATAATACCTGATCTCAAATTATACTACAGAGATATAACAAGATAAAAAACATGGGAATAGAAGACACAGAGACTTAGCTACATGCATGCAGTCTTCTGATACTTGACAAAAGTACCAAAAATGTGTGTTGGAGAAAAGACAGCCTTTTCAACAAATGGTGCTCGGAAAACTGGATATCTATATGTAGACAAATTAAATTAGACCCCTATCTTTTACACTGCTCAAAAATCAAATCAAAATGCATCCAAAACTTAGGAATTAGACCAGTAAGCTTGCGACTTCTAGAATAAAACAGGGTCACACTCCACTACGTAGATGCAGGCACCGACTTCCTCAACAAGACTCCTAAAGCTCAAGAAATAAAACCAAAAATCAATAAGTGAGATGCCATCAAATTAAAGAGCTTCTGCTCAGCAAAGGAAATGAGAGTGAAGAGTGCACCTACAGAATAGGAGAAAATCTTTGGCAGCTACTCTGAGAGGGGGTTAATATCCAGAATATATAAAGAACTACAAAACAAAACAAAAATCTCCAAATAACCCAATCAATAAGTGGGCAAAAGAACTTAGTAGGAATTTCTCAATAGATGTTTGAAAAAATGTTCAACATGTCTAGCAAATCAAATCAGGGAAATGCAAATCAAAACTACATTAAGATTTCATCTCGGGCTGGGGATGTGGCTCAAGTGGTAGCGCGCTCGCCTGTCATGCATGCGGCCCGGGTTCGATCCTCAGCACCACATACAAACAAAGATGTTGTGTCCGCCAAAAACTAAAAAAAAAAATAAATAAATATTAAAAAAAAAAAAAAAAGATTTCATCTCTTGGGCTGCGGTTGTGGCTCAGCGGTAGAGCATTTGCCTGGCATGTGCGAGGCACCACAGAAAAATAAATAAAATAATGGTATTGTGTCCAACTACAACTAAAAAAAATATTTAAAAAAAATTTCATCTCATTCCAGTCAGAATGGTAATTATCAGGAATACAAATAATAATAAATGTTGGTGAGGATGTGGGGGGAAAGGCCCACTCATTCATTGTTGGTGGAACTGCAAATTAGTACAACCACTTTGGAAAGCAGTGTTGAGATTCCTCAAACTAGGAGTGGAACCACCATATGACCCAGCTATCCCACTCTTTGGTATTTATCTAAAAGAACTAAAATTGATATACTATAGCAATACAGTCACTACAATGTTTCTAGCATCACAAATACATAATAGCCAAATTATAAAATCAAACAAGATGCCCATCAGTAGATAAATGGATCAAGAAAATGTGCATATACAATGGAGTTTTCCTCAACCATAAACAGGAATTCGATAATGGCATTTGCTGGTAAATGGATGGAAATGGAGAAAATCATGCTAAGTCGAATAAACCAGACTCAGAAAGTCAAGGACCAAATATTCTTTCTCATATATTGAAGCTAAAGCAAAATTAGAGAAAGGTGGCTGTGGGGGAGAGGATCATAAATCAAAGATTGCGAGATCAGTGGAGTACAAGTAAAAAGAGGAGAGAGGGAGGGAGGATGAGGAGGCGGGAAAGAAATTTAGAATGAACAGAATCTTGTTATACACATGTACAAGTGTACCAAAGAGAATATTTCCTTTCTATATATATAAAAAGTATCAATCAAAATAAATAATGGCTGGGCACAGTGGCGCATGCCTATGATCCCAGCAGCTCAGGAGGCTGAGGCAGGAGGATTGTGAATTCAAAGCCAGTCTCAGCAAAAGCGAGGCACTAACCAACTCAGTGAGATCCTGTTTCTAAATAAAATGCAAAATAGGGTTGGGAATGTGGCTCAGTGGCAAAGTGCCCCTGAGTTC